TCCACAGGGTTCTATTTTCGGCCCCGTGCGTTTCGATGGCTTCATCAATGACTTACCGTCCACACTCTAGATGGACTGCTTAAGCCACGCCGACCTGTTGTTGTGGATAGTTATCCAGCATGGAAGATGCTGAGAGATAACAATCGACACGACTTACTCCAAGATTGGTTGATTAAGTGGCAGTTGCCGACGAATATTGAGAAATGTTCGGTTCTTCCAGTTGGTGCGTCTAACCCAGTTAAAGCTTATAGTACTGGTGGTTCTTTGCGCAAACGCTACACATGGGATATATGTTGCAAAAACAGTGTTTCTATATTTCACATCTACTTAAGATACCCAGAAGTGTCGCCGCGGCCTACTGAATATCATATTCTGTACGTAGGCAATTTTAAAGGAATTAGTCTGACCACAATTGTCCTTAATTTACTTGTCTCTGTCGTCCTCTATAGACTGACTGGCACTCGTGAAAGCCAGATTTGCAGGGAGCAAGCCGCGTTTTGTCGAAATCGAGGCTGCATCGACCACATGTTGACATTACGTCAATTGTTAGAGTACCACCATGTTTATTGCCCACCCAGCGGTAGTCATGTTCCTCGATTCAGTGAATCGATATTCCCTTTGGGACTGTCTACTCAGGAAAGGTGTGCCCGAGAAACATGTAAGTGTCCTAAGAGCCCTGTACAAGCATAGTTCGGGCAGAGTGAGGGTTTATGACAAGCTGTCACCGCCCTTCAATATCTCCAGCTGTATGAGACAAGGTTGTCCGCTGGCACTTTTCCTCTAACTTCGCCATGGACGAAGTCAAGGAAACGGCGCTCGTTGGGCACGACCTACAAGGTGTGGACCTACCCCTAGGTGAGCTAGTTCTTGCCTTGTAAAATGCCGACGACATTGCGGCACAGTAGCTGTGAATTCCACCTCTAGCTAACGTGTATAATGATGGTGACGATGCCGGTGACATTGCCCTTAGCTGTGAGAGCTGCCAAACTTGCCAAGTAACAATGGACAAACTAGCAGTGGCTGTCAATCGTTTCGAGCTATGCTTTGCACCCTCGAAACGCAAAGTCCTCCAAGATTGGCAGGGATTTATCCCTGCGCTGCCCAGTTAGAAGTCGTCCAGGAATTCAAACAGCTGGGCAATTATATCAGCACCCATGAGATCAAAAATGGGATCATAAACTGTATTGGAAAACTTGAGGTGCTTTTGCCAATCTCCGCTGCCCGTGGCACCGGCGTAACATCACTCCCACACTGAAGAGCAGAGTTTACAATGCAGTCATCTATACCACCTCCCTGCACGGTTGCGAAACCTGGCACATTAAGTCTACAGACACAAAGAGCCTAACTACGTTCGACCATCGCTGCGTTAGCATCTTGGCTAATGTCTGGTGGGAACACTGCGTGAGCAATGGGTAGGTCCGGCGTCGCATGTCTGGTTCAAGAGGAGCTAATGAACCGCTCAGCATCGTTATTTTACGTACCAGACTCCGATGGCTGGGCCACGTGTTCCACATGCCAGCACACCGACTGCCACCTCGTGCTCACTTTGCGCGACCGCGGTCTGGATCGATGAAGAGTAGGGGTGACCAATCGATGACTTGATCAAGAGGAATGAAGTCCCTCACTCCAAAGTTGGCGTCGATTGCTGTGTCCAAACTGCCAGGATGGGGTCGCAAGGACGATGAAAGCGTCTGTGTAAATACCCTTGTTGACATGACGAAGAGGCGACCCCAGTGGCGTTTGTGTTTTCTTTCTTCCGTTTATCTACCCGACCAACAACGACCTCTCAGTATTACGGTTTGCTTCTTAGTTTTTGTAAGCTGTAATGTTTAATCTTGTTTTTTTTGTATTACGACAGATTAGCTGTGTTCCTCACCCTCAGTTGACGATGAGGGTTCTATACGTAGAGCGCTCTCTCGCCTGACACCGGAGGTCTTCCGACTCCTGTTTACGTCATGTGTACGCCTGGTTCCCGAATACGCTACCTCCAGCATCTATTCTCACCAAACCCAAATGCGACATGATTGAGAAAGTTTAACGGCGTAGATTCAAATCCGTCCCTGAATTATGGGACTTGTCCGACTCCAACGACTAAACCTGTTCTCTCTAAATTATCGTCGTTTCTGCAGAGATTTGATTTTCACCAGACGTATTATTAAAAGAGATAGGGAGTTACAGGAATCCTTTCATTTCCATATTGAAAGTTCAATACAAGATCACAGTCTGAAACTGTTCAAACCGAGGAGTCTCCGTGTTTTATCCAATTGTGAGTGGAACCGCCCAACGGAGTCCGTCGTCGATGCCGAGACAGAGAAAGGCTTCCAGCTTCAAGGATTGAGCCCGTTTTCTCTGTATTAGCGTCGCCGTCGTGGATATTTAATTTTCACTCTATGTATTCTCAGAGGAGATCTGCAGGCGGTTTCATCTCAACGTTAGGAATTCGACTAGAGGTCACCAATGGAAACCATTCAAACTGAGGAGGCTCCGAGTGCGACCCAATCTTTTCCTATCCACTAGTGTTGTGAATGACTAGGATCGCTTGCCGGAACTCGTCGTTGACGCACAGACGGAGGAATGTTTTCAAAGGCTATTGGATTCTCACTAGCTGAGTATACCGGGACTTTGATGTTTCCATTGTGGCTCTGGCTGCCCTCTGTGGAGCTACATTTGGCAATGATCGAATCATCCTTGCAATGACGCGATATCCTTTATGCTCTCTACTATCCAATGTATCCGATGTAAGATTGGATTCTCGTTTTCGTATGCCGTGATCCTGGTTTTTCTAATGCAGCTGCAGTGGTCCTCTGCGAAACCTTGTTACATAATAACGTACCCCGAGCGTCTACTTGATTTGGTTTGTCGGCCGGTGGCTGAGTGGTCTGCACGTTTGCTTTACAACCATAAGGTCACCGGTTCGAATCCGCGTAGGGGTGGGCGTCCTCGCGGTATACTCAGCCCGCGCGCGACTGGTGGTGGTTGCGCGGCAGCGAAGCGCCGTTACGGCGTACAGATGATACATTTTTTTATTGGGTATGTATTTAATGCACTAGAGTCGGATTCGAGGAAACCTGATCTTTACTCACCGTATGTTAACTGGAAAGGTTTGACCGGACTTGTCTTGGCTATTTAGCCTAGCTAGGTTGTCTTGTCTTCGCGGTCATCCCATGAAGCTACACAAGCCGAATTCTGATATGATCAACCCGGAAACTCGGATGTCGCGTAGTTATCGAGCGCTAGAATTCGCTTCCAGATGTAGTCAGTGAACCCGGTTAAGGGTTTCGAGCGCGTATTTGTCTTCCTACTACGATTTTATGTTCCATGGTTTTCGTTACTTGTTGGTATTGTCCCCATTTAAATGACCTTGCTTCCCTTGATCATCATTTTCCTTCAAGGCCAGCTTAGAAGTGAGGGCCTTTATTCCTCTCGACCGAGACATCGCCTGGCCACCTTTCCTCTTCTTCCATCCACACACTCGGCGCACAAACAACACACGTCGCAGGGGCCGGTAGGCTGACATGCGTAGCACGTAGCCCAGCCATCGGAGCCTGCTGCGTGAAATAACGGTGATAAGTTGTTCGTTTCCTTTTCTGTGACGTAAACAAGGCGTCGAAGACGCGCGTTACCCACCAGATGGGGGCCATACTGAGAAGGCAACGGTAGTCGAATGAAACTAGCCTCTTTGTGTCGTTTGAGAGGTCTGGTCTCAAAGCGCGAAGCGCTTTTGCTATACAGTTTGTGATCTCATCCTCGATGTGGGAATCGATTTCCACCTAGCACTGGCGGCAGTAGGGAACAAACAGCGCATGCAAGGCACATTATAACGTTGAGCAGGAATACATTTTCCGAATAACCGAAATACTGGTGACTACATTTGAGCGAGCAACGTCAGTTTATTACGCGCGTCAGCAACTGTTGGACAAACAGACAGCTCCAAGCTATCCCAGCTAAGTCGTGTATCTGCCTCAGTGCGTTCGATCACACGATCGATCGAGTGAGCGATTGAGCTTTATACACAGCTGTGTACAGAACCTCAAAATTGAGAATAGAGCGCCTGTGTGCAGATCCGGTGTTTACTTGCTTTTGACGCGGCTTGGTAACACAAACACACAACAGAAACGTCCCAGATGCGTCCCACTGACCTGGTTAGGAGAAAAAATCGGTCAGGGCGTTCTACTGGTCAATACAGCGGACATTTCTCGGTAACTCGTTATGCGAGCGAATGAGGTACGAATTTGTTAATCGGATCATTGAAAAGTAGAGAGAAGGAAAATCCTTGGTCAGCTCCATCGTCTACTGTTCGTCACAGGGAGCAAGGTGGACATTGCAAGTCGGTATTAATGGAACCGCTGGATTGACACAAGAAGCAACAAGATCCGAGTTCACTCAACAGCTAAGAATCCAACGGATGTTTGAAACATTCCTCCGACTGCGCATCAACGCACATTGTTCCACTCGTTCATAACTCTGGTAGACAGTGACATAACAACGGACCCGAAGTCTCGTTTGTTTAAACATTTTCCGATGCTGACCCCGAGTGGAACTGAAAACGTTAAAACGTAAAGACTCAAAGGTAAAGCCGATGGTTTCAGTGATGCACTATAAGATTAATCGACATATTTGGACGTGTTATGCCATTATCAGATTTCTGTTTCGTCCGCCAGTGACGAAAAGTCAGGACAAGACAGAACTATATTCAGGAACGAAACAAGCCTCCGCTTAAGGAGCGTCCCGTTTCGTGTGCCAATAAGCGGAAAAAGCCTTCAGTACTTCGACGTGATAGAATATTGTTGATTCTATAATGGTGAAGAAACAGATGGGTAGTCAGATGGCTATCCATCTGTGCCGATATGAAACATAAAGGCTAGAAGTATTTCTATAGGAGATGGGTAGTCAACTGACGTCAACGGCTTATGTATGTGGAGAGATGATCCATGGTTTCGAAAAAAGCGATTAGAGCGAATATGGTATTATTTCATGAACTGCCAGATAAAAAATCTTACCGTGTAGTAAAATAAAATTCCCATGTTAAAATCCAAAACGAACCATCGGTATTGCCAGCCATTTACAACATTGGTCCATTTACTTAAAGGTCCTTCCATGGTGAAGGCCGCATCCATAACTGTAGTCAAAGGGCCGGAGCGACCTAACGACAAGGCCGCTCGGTAGTCGCAGACCTAGCAGGGTACTTTAAAATGGTGACGTTTGTTGATTGGTCGGACTGGAGTGAAACAATTGACCTCAATATATTTCCAACGCCCCCTGAAATTCAGCAACGAAAGTTTCATGGTAAAATTATCGTAAAAATGAAGCGGAAAACTACCTACTAATTGTAAGTACGCAATGCAGTAGCCGTAAATCCAAACCCTTAATGATTTTGAGTGACCAAACCTCGTCCAAACGAAACTAAATTACGATAACTTTTAGTCAAACAGTATGCTTTATCTGATGCTACCTCACAATTATCGTGAGTTCGCTAATGTCTGAGCCTCTATACTTCAAGCACAATCCTCGGAGTCAAATGCTAATACAACGCACTTGGGCCTAATTACATCGGCACTAACTGTGCCACTGATGGAGCCTATATACAACGAGCATGAGACTTGGAGCGGTGTGCTATTCCAACCCACCTGGGTCCTATTACGTTGACACTAAATTTGCCACTGATGGATATGCTATCCTAAGGTCACGACCTTGAATCCCCCGTGATATTACAACTTACCTGGGTCCTATTACGTTGACACCAAATGTGTCACTGATGGAGCCGCTATCCTTTGATAACCAGCCTTGTGCTATTACAACTCACCTGGGTCCTATTACGTTGATACCAAATGTGCCACTGATGGAGCCTATATACAACGAGCACGAGCCTTGGAGCCGTTTGCTATGACAACCCACCTGGGTCCTATTAATCTGGCAGCAAGCATGCCGCTGATCCAGTTAGTTGTTTAAAATGCTTTAATCCCAATGAGTGCAGAAACCGACAAAACAACTGTGCATTGTATTTAACAGAAAGCAGCGAGAAAAGGTTCAGCGTAGTTCCCTATTTTCGTGCCTTGGACGCGCATGTCCCATGCAGGGTATACTTACACCGTCGCATACATCGGCTAAAATATAATAGTAATGCGAACATATAGCCTACTGTCGGGTAAGAGAAAGAGTTTTTATCTGAGCAATTTTCCCTTCACCTAGTTTTCCTTACTTGGCTAGCATCCATGTCGACGCTAGAGTAAAGTGAAAATAGAACTGTAAAATGCACAGAATAGTTTACCTTAGCGCCCCAGTCGGCAAAATAACCCTGGTTGTGGAGCGGTTTCGTAACGGGAACTTTCAGCGTCCCCAACGGCATGGACTATGTAGGTAGGTTGTAGTCCGCCAGCCAGCGGATGCAAATAGGTATTCGGCCTGTAAATGGATGCACATATCAGAAACGGCTTATTTGTCGGGTACACGTGCTGCTTGTATGCCGTCATTAAATGCACACACGGCCGCCACATGGTTTCATAAAAGGACAGGTACATGTTCCCAAGGAGGAATCGCTGGTGAAGCGGTTTCCTGGTGCGATATCTCAAACTATGGAAGCGTCAGCAATTTTTATTCACATACCACTCCATCTCCAAGGTCCGAGTAAACTGCTTGTAACATGGGTTGTGCTAAATGACGAATTACTAAGTTGCATGCGTACGTAGTTAAGAGGCAAACTACGCGATGAACGTATGCGCTGACTTCTAGTAGCTGATGCCTGTCACAGAAAAACGCGGCATGCATCTGGGACTCGTTCAGGAGAACTTTCGAATGCGCCCAGACTTTGCGAACGGCTGCAATAAGGCCATCCGATGCATGGGTAACTTTCTTCAACCGCAAGCTGGCATTCTCAACTCGGTTGTTCGTTGTATTGCCAAAATGCACCAGCCCAGCTTGGGCGTGTTTCGCCCACGAGCGTCTTATGTACAACCAGTACAACGTAAGGTAGCTCACAAACCGGGTTCTGTTCGTTGAAGGTGCTTTAAATCTTGTTGAAATCTAAAACAGGAATATTACATACAGAAAGAGCTTGTACTCAGTCTCCGTGTCAGAAGTTGCCATGCGATGAAACAGATAACGCGACCGCTTAATGTTTGTCTACAGGATGTAACGAAGATTTCTAACTTACATGGTTCCTGATGGCCTGGCGGATGTGGAAGTAACACAACAAAATGTCGCATTGAAAATCCGCGCGCGCTGCACGTATTTGAGCGGCCATTTTGTCCATCATTATTGTGCTGACGGGAATATCATGACCCATAATATCCCGAAACGCTTCGAACAACGTAAGCAAAGATGCGTAATCTTCCCGACGCAGAAACGCATAAAATATTGGCCGGCCGTAACCCATGCCGTCAGTTATTAAAAACTGGTATAGTTTGAAGCTGCAAGCAACAAGTAAGGCCGCTATCAATTCTTACTTCAAACGGTTAGTACCATGAGTAGCGTCTACACAAACGACATGCGAGAATCGGCGGAACAGTTCTATTTGTTGATGCCGAGCGAATAATACGTGTGTGCACAAGCCTTCCTCAGAAATAATTCGCGCAACTCCGTCTTCCTCCATAGACTTGATAACCTGATGCAATTTTACTGCAGGTAGTAAAACCATCAAAATAAGCTTACACTCAACGCCAGGTCTCAGTTTACGACGAAAATTGCGGACAGCATCGCTGGTAATATGCTTTCTGAACTGAACCTCGACAAACTGCTTGATGTCTCATGTTGGGGTGTTGTAGCGGAAAAGATCCACGGACTGAATAAATTCATCGTCTGTCAGACGGCGATTGATGGGGTGTCGCTCAAAAAGAAAGCGAGTAACTGGCTGATTTATGACAGATCGAAGATTGTGAGTTTCTGCTTGCATCCAGTTCTGATGAGGTCTACGCGAGCTTTGCAGTTAGTATCACGTGAGCTGAAAGCTTTAGAATACTAGAAGCGAAAGCTTACTAAACAAGTCTCATTTCTTTATTTTTTGAATTCTGATGTGTGCAGCGGACACCTCGATAAATGACCCTGTCATACTTCATCCGCGACACGTTACACTTTCTGCTGCTTTAGCATACGAAATTGACGTAATGAAGAAGCATAAATTTTGAAAACAGACTATTAATCTCATCAAAAATGTCAAAAGAGTGCCCAAGGAAACTTCTCTCGAAATCAGACTCCATGTCGTACGGATACGAAAATACTGTTCGTACCGAGTATCTGGTTTCCGACACATTGAATCAATTGCAGTATCACATTTGCACACAGTTGAATTAATCTGCCAGGGCAGAATGATATCCGGGAATCATGCCATAAAATGACCATAAACTATTCATTGCGCACTAGGTTTTGCGGGGTAACGGTGCTGCCCAGTAGTAGCAGACCAGGCAGGATACTTTAGTGATGGTGACGTTTGTTGATTGGTTGGACTGAAGTAAAGCAAGTGACCTCTAGACTCTGTCATTCTAATCTGGTGAAACTTTAAAATTGTGTTTAGTTTGCTAAAAACCTATCATCCGCTTGCCGTCGATTCGAATGCACCTAAATACGGTTAATGAAACGCTGGATATGTGGTACATTACTTATACAAAAAGGGCAACTTTAGTATGTCCAATATTGAATAGTGCGCGCATCGTAATGCTAAAAGTCAAATTTAGGTCGCCTGTTTTCATGCATGCTGTATGTAACTAATTCGCAGTTTTGGATGTCCTTTTGAGAAATTTGATTTCTGCAACTTAACTCCTAATAGCTATCTTTTTTGATAAGCTTGTCGGCACAAGCGTCCTATAAGAGTGCGTGGGTCCTCTTCTAAGCGTTTTATCGGCGTCCTGTCTAGATGTGGTTAGACGCGAAGCAAGTCGCAGACAAAATGTGTAGCAAAACGGTTTTGAAATGCATGCAAACTAGTGCCCACTCTAACAGCTGTGCACGCTGGGTTGCAAAAGTGCCAATACTCAACTCGCGTTACTATGTGTCTACGTATCGATGGTAAAACATCCACTGTGTAACGCATGCAACTGGATTTGCCTTAATATAAGCAACACTAATGCAATATTGGTAACTAAAGTAGAGATTATTTGCCATAAAGTATAAAATATAAGCACACTGTTTCTGAGCCCATTTATTAAAAGTACCCGCCGTCCACTGCTTGTCTCCTCCTGGACTACTTAATTAGCCTTCTATTGTGCCGACGGGAGAGCGACGGAATTTTAATGTGGGACGCATTATTAAGATAATGAAATGGAAGCACAGGGTTTGGGAGTTTCATAGCAGCTTATGCATTATCGCAACCACATTTAAGTGCCTTCTTTAAAAGCGAATATTTTGTAAAACCATAGGAAACTTATGCAGAATTATGGTACCTAGGGATTATCATTCTATCCAAACAAATGGACTGCGAAACCTTCCATGGAAGCGTGCTTTTGGCCACTCGCGGAGAAGCAAAAGGAAATGAAGATAAATGTCTTTATGTGTCCATGGATGTTGTTAGCCAATCGTCTAAATCCTTATCGGTGCCGTTTATTGCATAAAAAGCTTTCTTTGTAACCGTACTTTCTGTCAGCGCAAGTAAACTTTGGAGCACCATGAGGGACGAATAATTCGTCACTGTGGTAGTAGGTACTTACAAGTCTGTAATCGATTTCCGCTTAACCTTCACGGACTATGCATCCCGTCCGCGCGAACAGCGAGAAGTGCTGTAGTGTGAGTGTTGTAACTCCCTAAATGATCACATTTTTGGCAACCAGCAGCCTAAACGTACACCTCATGGACGACATGTTGGTAACTAAAAATATTTTCCAACGCCCCCTAAGATTCCGAAATGAAATTTTCAATGTTATAAGACTGTAAACCTGAAGCAGGAAACTACCTACTAATTGTAATTACTCAATGCGTAGGCGTAAGACCCTATCATGAATGATTTTGAATAACAAAACTCGACCAAACGAAGTAAACTCGGATGACTTTTAGTAAAGCAGTATTTTATAGCTGTTGCCACCTCACCGTGTATTGTCAGTGTGCCACCGCCACAGCCTCTATACCGTGCACACAATCCTCGGAGTCAAACGCTACAACAACGCACTTGGGTCCAATTCCTTTGGCATTAAAC